ACACTTCAGGCGTTGAGCGGTCTGAGTATGCTTGTTTAAGTCACCGTTGGGGTGGGCAGGTCATGATTCAGACCACTACCATAACTTTGGAGCAATACGCAGTACAACTTCCCTGGGACGAGCTGCCCAAAACCTATCAAGATGCCATTCAATTCGCTCATGCGCTTGGCTTCGGTTACCTATGGATTGATTCACTCTGTCAGTCTTCTTTACTTGCAATCTGCGCCAGACCTCTCATCCAAGAACTAATTGAGATTTAGGTATAATCCAAGACTCGCCCGACGATTGGCGTCACGAAGGAAGTCGGATGTCAGACATCTACTCGAATGCAGCTATAACCCTCTCCGCGACATGGGCATCAAGACCTTCCCAAGGTTGTTTCGTAACACCTGATGCGGAATACATGCCTCATACAAGTGTATTTAAGAACAACTATGAGGGGACATACGGACTACATTGCCACGAATGGATTCCTCGACTACAAGTTCCACTGCATGATCGAGGCTGGGTTTTCCAGGAACGGATGCTATCGAAGCGTGTTGTTCACTTTATGGAGCAAGAGCTCTGGTGGGAATGCCGAGAGACGATCACTTGCGAATGCCGCAGTGAATACCACGGCAGAAGTACATTCGGGGTCGATATGAACCAAATAGATAGGATGCTTGAGTTGTCATCGCCAATTGACATTGAAAGCTACTGGGAGGAGATTGTGACTATATATACGACGAAGTCGCTCACATATCCCAGTGATATTTTTCCTGGTTTGCAAGGACTAGCCAAACTGGTGCCCCAAGTCATGGGTAGATATTATGCTGGACATTGGGAGGCCACCTTAGTTCAGAGCCTCTGTTGGCACGTTACTAAAGTATTGAGGAGTAAGCTTAAGGAATGGCGTGCTCCATCCTGGTCGTGGGCTGCAGCTCCAGAAAGAGTGACCTGGTTTCCTCCAGGGTCCGATCCAAAGACGACCACATTCGCCACTGTTCTTAGCGCGATGACAAAATCCAAAGGAGATGACCCAATGGGTCAGATATCTTATGGATCCATTGTTCTGAGAGGCAGGTACTTGGTCGGCCACATCACTGCACCTGGCTATACCGCCGCCCTCCGGCTCCGATCTCCACTCAACATAACAGCGCAATGTTTTGTTTGCTTTCCTTATTGGGAACAAACCGATCTCAAAATCGGCACGCAGATCACTGCTCTGAACATTGTCCAATTTGATGGCCCGTTTTTGTGGAACAATAAGAGAGGTAGCCGCAAGGGCTATTGGTTACTCTTGAGAAGTGTGGCGAGTGTAGAAGGAGAATACATGCGTGTCGGTATATACCCAGAACCGGATCTTACGATAATCTTGGACTCCAGGGATGTTGAATCTGTAATGGAAGAAGAGGCAGTAGAAGGGGAGTTCAAAATTATCTAGACGCACAAAAAGGCGGTCAGAACCCATGCTCACTTCGCAAGAATCCGAGAGGTCAGACTCTCTACTTCAATATGCTGCCCGCACAAAATGTTTGTACGCTTACCCAATACACCCCCTCAGCTCTCCCCCTTCGTCTCCTTCTCCACAACAACAGCATCCTTCTTCGCCGGCCTCTCCCCAAAAATCTGACTCCCCACCCTAACCTCATCACTCCCCATTCTAATCGCCCCCTCAAAATCCGCACTCATGCCCATACTCAACTCCAACTGTCCCTCTTCCCACCCAAGCTCCTTGACCACCTGATCCCTAACCTCCTTGAGTTTAACGAAATCCTCGTTTTCGGTCTCGGGCGTCGTGGCTTGACTGCGCGCAATGGCGCCGATGGTCATGAGGCCGTGGAGGAGGAGATGGGGACATTTGTCTATGATGTGCCGACATAGCGCGAGAGTGTCGGAGGGCTCGACGCCGGATTTGGCTTCTTCGCCGGAGGTGTTGACCTGGACTTTCACGCGCAGTTTCTCTTCCACCTGCACTTTATCGTCTCCATCTTTCTCGACCAACGCCCTCCTCCCCTTCTCCAGCTCATTCGCCTTCTTCTCACTATCCACACTACTCACACACCACAGATTCGGCACTTGTTCGGCCAGCTGCTTGCACTTGTTCGATTGCAGACCACCGATCATGTGCCATTTTATGGAGCGGGGCAGGATTTTGTGCTTCTCGAGGAGTTCTTGGACGTAGTTTTCGCCAAAGTGCGTTTGGAGGGGTGGCTGCGAGGGAGAGGATGGTTTGTGTAGCGCGAGGATGTCGTTTGCGGGTTTGAGTTTGGAGACGGCGATGAGGCGGACCTGGAGTGTCGCGTGTTAGCAGGTGGGTTTTGGGGCGATTGAAGGGGTGGATGGGCGTACTTCTTTGCTGCCTTGGCGGGCGGCGTTGATGCGCGAGGTTATACTCGCGATGTTCTCAGTGAGCTGCTTCGCGCGTTGGGGGTTGATGTGCATGTCTTCGGCCATGGTTGATGCAGGGCTATGATGGTGTTCGCGTGTTCAGCCCTGCGACTCGCTTGGATGAAGACGTCAGATCGGCGTTACTGCAAAGTGCCGTGTTATCTCCGTTGTATGCACGAGTCATCACTTTTGCATGCTGATACAGGCACCCGGTCCGGAAAAATCGCCGAACTCCCAAAGCTACACCTTTTGCACGCTTATATCTTTACAAGATCTTATTTATTTTGTATATTCTAATTACTAGAAGTGTAAAGAATTACAAGCTCCATTTTTCTAGCTATTAAGCTTCTTTTATTCTTTTGTTGTCGTAGAATAAGAAGAGTGCAAAGAGGGGTAGATATTATCGTTCTACCTAAAGCAGGCCTGTTTTGGTGGGTTTAGAGTCCGGCCATTTTTCCGGACCGGGTGACAGGTAAACCAAGGGCTTGGCTATCGATTAACGTACTTCTAGGCGACGATGCAAAGGTAGAATTGATGCTAAGGAGCCCCTACGACAGGCTGCGAAGTCTGCCAGGACTCGCTGACCCGCTGCAACCATTTTTCGCTCCCACCAAAGGCAGGGTCCACCAACAAGTCGTGATCGGTACCTGGGAGCACTTCATTTTTGTAATCATAGCTTTGGCTCGGTACCCATATCGCATTGAACCAATCCCTGCCTTTATCGCCGACCAATTGGTCTTGTTCTGCGTGCATGCAGTCGATATCCCAGACCCGTCTGTTTCCTGCCAGTCGGTCGTCTTCGCCAATGGTCTTGGACAGGAGCTGTACCGCGTCGTTAAGATCTTCCCATTCGACTATGGGGGTACTCCATGGAACAGAGCGTCTCAAGAACATCTGTGTGTCCATTGAGACGCCGTCCACGGACTCTGCGAAAACGAACTTGGTAATGTGGTTTCGCAGATCATCCACGACTTTTGGATCGTCAAGTGCGACGTCGTAGAGAGTGTCGCGAGGGCCATCATTTGGCTCTCTAGGCTCAGTTGTTTCAGGCGCTGCAAGAGCGACTGGGCCTGCGGTAGGGCTTGAGCGCGACAATGAAGTGGATATTCCTTGAACGAGGGTGCCGCTCAAGCCAACCAGCGGAACGACATTCTGACTAATGAATCTGGCGACGGGGCCCATTTTCCCTATTAGAGACGCGGGAAGAAGCCCAGTAGCCTGTAAATGCGTCATCTTCGTGTGCGAGTAGTGTACCCACGGAGCGAAGAAACAGATGTATGGATGGTTGGGATTCAGCAAATGTGGATAGGCGAGGATAAGGTTCATGAGGTAGATGTCGCCTCCACTGTGACTAGCAACCGAAACATGCTCGATATTCAAATGCGCCAGGAGTTGGGGAACCATTTCTACGTGGATGAGTTAGCCGCCTTGGTGAGAGAACGTGTTCACCAACCGAGCCAGGTCTGAATCCGCTTCTCAGGCTTCACAGCATCACTGCCACCAACCCCAGGACGATCCGGATGAATAATTCGGACATGATGCCTCTTTGCTAATTGATCCAAAGGGGAGTAAGACAGGCGCTGGCCAAACATCGCTCCACAAAATAAGACGACTGCGTTGCTGTCGGCGTCGCCAAAGTCGGAGTAGGATACATGATAGGGTTCGGGTCGGTCAGCATCAGGGTCGGCGGGAAGCACGAAACTGCGGTGGAACCTTCGATCGCAGATGAATTCAAGCGCACCCATGGTGAGGGGATAAGAAGAGTTCGTTGGTAGGATTGTTGAGGTGAGTACGTTCGATCCTTCCAGGTACCTCCAGCCCATCAGCTGCCAAGCATGGGTATGTCAGGCAACCAGACACGCGGCAGGAGGCTGCAGGCGCTATTGGATGTCAAGGGACGAACCCTACTTTTGCGTACGTCCTTTCATCGCAATCCCCACCAGAGGTGCCGCGATTTGGTGTAACATGTTGAGACATAGCCTATAATCTTTTGATTGTTGAAGAGGGTAGGTGAGGAATTCAATCGCTCGGGCACAGGACTGAAGCTTCGTCATGCGAAAGGATGAGGTGACAACACCAATTCTCAGAGAAAACGAATGTCGAAAAGCGAGTCGAGTGTATCCTGAAGATGCCAGAGATCCAGCTGCGATGGAATCTGGTGACGTCGAAGGCTCGCTGCAGCAGGAAGAAGGGCATCCCCGGAGCAAGCCTCATCACATCCGGCTCGTCGCCCCACATGGCAAGTAACGTGCCGCAGAACCGCCTGCGCGTCTTGCCCTCCACACCCCATCAAAGACCAACCCCAGATTTGATCTAGTAAACAAGACACAATGCACTCAAGTGTCTACTTAGAGCATAGAGACGCCCGGCTAAGGCACCTAGTACCTGCAGGAGGTGCCGGAGTAATACTTCAGACAGATTGCTTTATATGGCCAAGCCCCCGTTTAACCCCGGATACACCCATGACGCCAGTGATGATTAATATCAGGGCGAACTTCTAGAAATGAAGGTGCATGCGGTTTGGAGGGGCGCCTTTGGATTGCAATGTATAAAGATGTGGGTGCTGTAGGTTGGACAGTTGCTGGCGCGGTTGCTCTTTCCCACTACAGTACTTCTTAGCCTACTTCACCATGAGGTATCTCCCAGTCGCTCTTGCCGCTGCAGCAGCACAAGGTGCGCTTGCACACCCAGGTTCCCCACATCCAGACGCGCAAGGAAGGTACACGATCGAGGCCGAGGGAATCAGGGCGCAATTCATTCCCTATGCTGCTACTCTCACCAACCTTTTCGTCAAAGGTAGAATGCACTTATCATGCTAGATGATATCTACTAATAGGATCCAGACCCGGCAGGCCAGGAGCTGGACATCGTCCTAGGTTATGACAATACGTCTTACTACCGTAAGCTGCTGTCGCGCATGCATCGCTATACAACCTAACATTCTCCAGCGGTCGACCCGGGACATCCCGTCTACAATGCCATCCCAGGCCGATATGTCAACCGCATTGGCAACGGCGAATACTCCATTGACAACGTCACGTACCACACTGAGAAGAACGATGGCCCAAACACCCTCCACAGCGGTACAAACAACTGGTCCTTCAGGATGTGGAACGTCAGCGCCGTGACCAATTCGTCCATCACCTTCTCCATCAGCGATGCTTCCAGCTCTTCGCTGGGTATGATTGGCCGTGTGGATGCGAGTGTCACGTACTCGGTCTCAAAGAACAAGTGGCACATCTCCATGGATGCCACATCCCCAGAGGCCAAGACGCCGCTCATGCTGACGCAGCATACTTACTTCCAGCTCGATGCCTTCAAACGCCCTGACAACCGCACGGTCTGGAACCACACTGTGTACATGCCAGAGGCCAAACGTGCGCTCGTCGCCGATGCGAACGCTCTTCCCACTGGCGAGATTGCGCAAATCCCCGCCGGAGCCATTGATGATTGTGAGTAATCTCTCTATGAACCTAATATGAGTTGATACTGATTTGATTAGTCTGGTCTGCACCGCACGAACTTGGGTTCGCGTCAGGCAACGAAGAATTCGAGAACCACTGCGGAAACGGGTGCCACGGCTACAACGGCGCCTGGGCATTCAACGAGGCCAGGAACAAGAGCGCAGCTGTGCTCACGCTATCGAGCGCATACAGTGGCATCGAGGCCAAGCTGACGACGAACCAAGACGCCGTTGTCCTCTACACGTGCAATTGGAACGACGGAAAGAGCGAGTTCAAGAGCACCCAGGGTGTTGTTGGCCAAGACAAATTCATCCCGCGCGACGGGTGCATCGCTATTGAGGCCCAAGACTACGTTGATGGCATCAACCAGTAAGTCGATGATGACGTCGTTTCAGGCACAAGCTAATGTTGTTGAACAGTCCGGAGTGGGGTCGGCTGGACAAGCAGATCTCGGGCCCTGGAGACAAATACCACTGGGAGTCGTCGTGGGAATTTGGAACGATCTGACATGAGGCGGTAGCGGGCTTTGAAGGGGCGCGAGGGTGGTGAGGCTAGCAGTGGACACGGCGTAGGACGGTAGGTAGTAAGCAACATGTTATGCAACCCCATTGACCAAGTGTCAATATCTGGAGCCCCGCATTTGGGCGGGGTGCAGTGCTCGCGTGTCGCCCAACGTCTGCTTGGTAGCGAACAGCACAGTGTTTGAGGGCGAATTTCGAGTGTTTGTTGACAACGAAGTGGTGGTGTTGGTGGTCGCCGACTGCGGGCGGGAATAGCAGACTGGGACAAGGCCCAAGGTTGGTTCCTGGTATTGGTATCGTGGCGGCGCGGGCTAAGCGGCACAAGCTCCAGGACCTAGCTGCAGCATGCCATGGCTGCATATAGGCCCAGATGTCGCCAGCACGCAGCCTGTTTGCTCTTCCATCGTGCGCCCTCGTCACTACTCGACTCTGTGAATGATGGTGAAGGCATGCTGAGCTGACATGATCGACGGCAGCTCCTGACGCCTGATTGCCTTTTCCATCGCCCCGCCCATTCGGCCCTAAGCTTCCTACATACGCAACATTCATTTGCGATCGACAGTCCGCTGCGTAGCTGCCAAGCAACGACATCATCCAGGAATCGTCGACTCCAGGGCGCCATTACTCCAGGGTTGCTCGTCGACACCCACTCCCCACTGCACTTGCCTCTGCCTGCCTCGCCCATGCGCCCCTTTTGTCGATCGCGACTGCTCTGTCTATCTAATCGCATCTCGTGAGGCGCGTCGGAAAGGGCCACCCACGGCCAGTCCCCAGCATCGATGTCCTTGTGACACCGGCTATCTTGCACCGGACACGCCCACCACCTCTCCCTCGCTAGCCGTCGCGATAACGACCTGATCCCTGCCCGCACAGACTGCGTCACTGGCACTTGGGCATCCACGGCCCGCCCTGCTGCGAGCCCGGCGCGATCCGCTTTCACCATCGATAATCCAATTCCTCCATCCATCCTTCCACCCGCACCATGGGCAACTCGCAGGGCAAAGAGGCCACGCCGGAGCGGAGAGGCCACGCCCGCCGCTCCAGTGCCCACCAGCCCACCTCGCCCTCGACTGCCGGGCCCGCCGCATCCACACACGACAGGCCGGGGAACAGTCCCTATGGCAACTCGCGGAGAGACAGAGGCAGCAGACCGGACCTGTCTTTCCTCGGCATACGCACCGGCGACAATGCCGAACGCGACCCCGCCCTCGAACCGCGCCGGGAGACAAAGGCGGAGCGCGAGGCCCGCAAGCTGGAGAAGGACCGCATCTTGAGGGCCCAGGAGCGCGAGAGGAGTTTGAAGGAGGAAGGCGTCGACGGAGGATACCTGGTTACGCTCGGGGTATACACGGGACCAGAGGACTTTAGCAAGCCCACGGTGCGGCAGCTGCAGGTATGCCTCTATCCGTGATACGAGGATCCCTACGAGAACTGAACTCACACGTGATAGATTGAGCGACGACTCGCTCCCTTCTGGCGCGGTCTCGATGACCACGAAGACACTTGGACTGAGCACCAGCTCGTCGAAGTCGTCAACGGCCGCCCGCTGCCCGCTGCAGACGACATCCCTCCCGAAGAGCCGCCTCGAGTCACCACGAACAACCACCTCAGCACGGCATGGAATCCGCGCAGCTCGGAGCCCAGTCTCAACAAGCTCACGGTGCCCATGGGCGCTCGCTCCATGTCCCAAGAGCCAGAGCGCGGAGGTGGTCTCTCCCCATCGAATCCTACCTTCTCACTCCCCTCGCCTGGCTCTCCGATCGCGAACAACTCCTCGTCCTCGCCATTCTTCCGTGGCCGCGCCAAAACACTTGCCTCTCTGGCGACGGGTTCCCGCAATGCTTCGCAGTCTGACATGGCCCCGCAAGAACTACACCTCCCCAAAGACCCGTACGTTAATGGTCAACGGGTTGAGGCTTTCCTCTACAAGAATGCCTCCGAGTGCCCCATCTGCTTCATGTACTACCCGCCACACCTGAACAAGACGCGATGCTGCGACCAGCCCATCTGTTCAGAGTGCTTCGTCCAGATCAAGAGACCCGATCCGCATCCGCCGGAGCATCACGGAGAACCAGGCGCCGAGGGTGCGCAATCTGCCGAGCCGGAGGAAGAGGTCCAGCTAGTTTCGGAAGCAGCTGCTTGCCCGTACTGCACACAAACCGAGTTTGGAGTGACCTACGAGCCGCCGCCTTTTAGGAGAGGGCTCGTCTACAATGGTCAGGGTCATAACGGCATGGGTAGTGCGACGTCGGCAATGTCATCCACCTCATCCTTGAATTCGCCTACTGCGGCCGGCCCTGGTAGAAGAAGGGCGACGTCACTGGCAGTCACGGACAAGACTGTGATAACGACTGACATGGTGCGACCTGATTGGGCCAAGAAGCTGGCAGACGCGAAATCACACGCTTTGCGAAGGGCTGCCGCGGCCACTGCGCTACACAATGCCGCATACATGATGGGAAATCTTCCACAGGGAGAGAGCCGGTTCGGCCTTGGAAGACGAAGGCGAATCTTCACTACCGACAGCGCTGGTAGCAGTGGACACGGAACACCCAGGCGTGAAGGTGAAAGCTCGTCCGGTCAGCCAGGGACCTCGGGCGACCTATACCCCAGCCGAATAAGCTCTAGGAGAGGGAACAGGATTGATGACCTCGAGGAGCTTATGATGATGGAAGCAATACGCTTGAGTCTGGCAGCCGAAGAAGACCGCAAGAAGAGGGAAGAGAAGGACGCCGCCAAAGAAGCCAAGAAGGAGGGTAAGAAGAAGGCCAAGGAGATCAAGAAGGTTGCCAAAGCCCAACGGAATATCGGCAGTGGCTTCCACCCCATCGAGATTGATGGCATTGACGAAACGGAAGCGGGCAGCTCTTCGGCGGCTGGGAAAGGAAAGGGAGTTGATCGGTCTGGTGGCGCCGGTGGCTTCAATCCCATGTCAGAACCGACGTCGACTTTGAACACGCCGGCTACCAAGGACGACCCGCAGAAGCATCTCGAAGCCAGTCGCGCACAGATTCAGCGGGAGAAATCTGACACCAGCAATCCGGCTCCTTCTCATCTCGAGCGCAATAAATCTAACGCCTCCTCGTCCTCGTCGTCGTTCGCAGACTCATTCCAAAACTCACTACAACAGCAAGAAAACCAAAACCTCGCACCTGGCTCTTCTTATGTGCCTAGTTCAAACGCATCAGGCATCAGCTTAGCCCAGGGCGACACCGATACTCCTCCACAGGATTCGAATAGCACCGAGCCAATGTTCAACTTCCAAAGTCTCACAAAGGCGATCACCCCCGAAGACGACAACAAGAATGAGAACAAGCCTCAATATATCGAGGACGTGGGCGAGACGCATACCGAAGAGAAAGCTACAACTGCGAACGGCAAAGCGCCTGAAGCTTCAACAGCTGTAGAAAGCCAGACCTCTGACCCGCTAGCTGAGAGCACAGTGACGCTCAGGCCAAGTGAAGAGACACCAAAGACGCAGGACGCCCACTCCAACGACGATGACGAAATCAGCCCTGCGCCACCCATCCAACTCGTCTCAGACGACCACTCCCCCTCACACTTCGACCAGAAGCACCTCGGTGAAGTAAGCATGATGCACGAGTTGAACCACCAAGCCACGCAGTGAAACCCTTCATCACAACAACATGACCAGTTTTCCTTTGTCTCGAACTTCACATCAACATGCATTCGAATCGGTGTTTATCAAATCAATCAAACAAACGGCGCAAACGGGGGACAAGGGAGTTGAACAATCGCTACAGGATCTTAGTGTCTATTCTGTGTTTCGGTTATCTCGGGTTCCGTGGGTTCATCGGGCGCGTGGGAAGGTCTTTTACTTTTCTGGTATGAAATTGCTGGGATCATGCGGATGGGCAAGTGAAAGCCTGTCTGTCTGTTGAGCTAGATGTCATGGAAAGAGAATGCATTTTATCACAAGATCATCTTGAGTGGAGTATGTTGAGCATGTACTGTGGAGTGAAACATGTAGTTTGATTGGGAGGGTATTCATATCAAATATAAATAACAAAGCAAAGCTCAAACTAACTCCTTGCACCACGACCTGCGCGTGCGGTTTCCCTTCGTTTTCTTCCAGCCCACAACATCTTTCCTGCTGTCCATCGTCATGCTTCTTCCTTCACACCTTGACTAACGGCCCGTGAGAACCTAGCCTTTAAAGTGTTATTACCCTAGTACGCGAGCCGTGACGTAACGGCAACGTTGTCTGAGCTTAACAAATCCACAAGTTCTAGAGCCTTCCAAAGCCCTAGAAATTGTGGATTTGTTAAATTCAGACATCGTGTCGTTTTGCTGTGACGAAATGCGTACTAGGGTAACAAGACTTTAATGGCTGCGGTCCTTGGAATAGTTATGTGTGCCGTTGCGATATGTGGTTGTGAGGCTGGGTCTGGAGGTGGGGCAGCGATGGGTGGCCAGCTGTGAATGTGAGAGCTGTGTGAGGTTGTGTGGTTGTGTTGTGGTGTTGTTGTGTTGATGGCGCGATAACCGGATTGAACGGGAGAAGATGAAGCCATGCGCCGTACTCCCAAATCCAAATAAACGCCGTTGGTATCATGCCATGCCATAGTATCATCCTCGTGTCGTGAAAGTCGTGATGTCGTGAACGCCCTCTTGCATCCTTGGTCTCTCTCCAATCATTTGGGAAAGAATTTCTGTCCAGGTGGCCTCGTTCGCGTCGTTGATATTGCGATGGGCAGAGGTGTGCCCTCCATGCCCGTCATCTCAGTAGACCAACGCTGTGATGTCTCTCACACTCAGATGCTGCAACGCAGCGCTACTCTGGCCTCCTAACCTCGTGAAATAAAGCGAGGCCAGGTCCATTGTAGTGCGTAGCATGGCTGTGGGCTTGCCAGGGTGGTAGAGATCGAGCAGTGTGAGGGCCCAGCAGGCGATTTGGATGATGAGCAGGGACGCTATGCAGAGGCGGAAGGAGGAGTCTTTGCCCATTGTGTGTGCGGGTGGTTT